CCTCCCTCCCTCCCTCCATCCATCCCTTCATCCCTCCATCCCTCCATCCCTCCATCCATCCATCCATCCACTGATTATCCAATGAAATGCTCGTACGCGGCAACGTCACGGTAACGTAACGGTTTGACACGTCCCTACAGTGAGTTTTTCACAGTCAAAGTGTACTGCGTGCTCATTAAGGTTACTCGATCCGATATATTTTTGCATGAGCACCTACCAATTTCGAACCTACCATGCCTCAAGAGATTGATTCCGATTTCATAGCCACTAGGACACATATTTTACATATAGACTAAACTATAATTCAACTGACTTATTTCGAGGAGATCGGATCACATATCACATGGTAATGACGTCACAACTGTTTTATCTCTAAGTCGAATTTTAGCCCTCAACCGCATTTTCTTCACGGCTTCCTAACACAGTCTTGAGACCTTGTAAATTTGTCTGTTTCTTTATTTCTTTACAACCAGGGCCGAAATTCTCATCATGCGGAAGATATACGGTATTCTTGCCAGCTTTGCCTCGTTACAACATACCTACGACAGCGTCATCTGCCTGATTGCATTCGTTACTCTAGTTTTCACCGGAACACGCCTTACTCCATTCAACATCTTCACCATGGTTGGTCTTCTAAGCGAGAACAGACGCTCTCTTGTGTACGGGCTCACTGATGGCATGCAGCTTATCGCAGACTGTTTCGCATCGCTAGATCGTATTGAACACTTTTTACTTATTGAAGAGCTTGCAAATGGAAAAAATGGAAGGCATAGCAAAAAGAAAGACTCGTTCAAAGATCAGAAGCCGAAAGAAGAAGGCAACTACATCAAAGCCACTGACTTAACATGCCACTGGAATGGACTCAGTGAATCACCGGTTCTCTCCAATATAAACCTGGAGTTAAAGGATAGCAAACTCGCGCTTATCACTGGACCAGTCGGCTGCGGCAAGTCCACGTTACTCCTGACCCTATTAGAAGAGTTGATGCCTACCTCAGGAGAAATACAGAGGAAAGGAAGTATTGTTTATGTACCACAGACTGCGTGGGTTTTTAGTGGTACAGTAAGAGAGAATATCTTATTTAGCAAGCCATATGACGAGAAGAGATACAAAGAGACCATCGAGGCTTGTGATCTGACCAAGGATATCGAGAGGCTCCCTGACGGGGACGAGACAACCCTGGGCGAGCGAGGAGCAAGCCTAAGTGGAGGCCAGAAAGCACGTGTTAACCTCGCGCGTGCAGTATACGCAGATGCAGATATATACCTTCTTGATGATCCGCTAAGTGCCGTAGATGCTAAAGTAGGCAAGCATATTTTTGAGACTTGTATCTCAGGGATGCTTAGTAACAAGATTCGTGTCTTGGTCACGCATCAGCTGCAGTATCTGAAGAATGCTGATTTTGTTATGATTCTTGACAGTAAAGGCACGATTGAACATGAAGGGGACTACTTCCAGTTACAGGTGAGTTACCTGGGAGGGTGGGTGAGGATGTTGTTAATAAATGAATACATCTCGACTCTCTAGGGAGGGGTGGGTAGATAGAGACACATTTGTATCGCTAGGGGACTACATCCAGTTACAGGTAAGATACTTGGGAGGGTGGGTGAGGATGCTGTTAATAAATGAATACATCTCGACTCTCTAGGGAGGGGTGGGTAGATAGAGACACATTTGTATCGCTAGGGGACTACATCCAGTTACAGGTAACATACTTGGGAGGGTGGGTGAGGATGCTGTTAATAAATGAATACATCTCGACTCTCTAGGGAGGGGTGGGTAGATAGAGACACATTTGTATTTCTAGTCTCACTGGTTCATCATCATTTGTTAGGAATCGGGGCTGGATCTCGATTCCATTGAAGAAGAACTGCGAATTGGAAACGAAAAGTATTACGCAATACATGGAGTCGAGTCGACCACCAAGAAAGAGAGCGAAAAACCCAAAGAGCCAGACATACGTGAGACTACGAGCTCCAAGCCAGTGGCTGGAAAAGGCTTAGCTTCAGTGACAGAGGATCGTAGTGTAGGGACGATATCTGCAGGTCTTTACTGGAGATACTTCCGGTCTGGTTTGCACGCTGTTCTACTTATTCTTCTAATATTGTTGTTTTTAGTTGCGCAAGGTGAGTACAGGTGATTGGTGGCGTATTAGGTTGGTGTGAGGGTGGGTGGGTGAGTGAGTGGGTGGGTGAGTGGGTGGATGAGTGGGTGGGAGGGTCAGGAATGCACGGTCATGCGTCATGTGACATAATGACATAGTTATGACACGTTACATCACGGTTACACTACACAATTTACTCCACATTTCACTGCACAATTTACGTCACGATTATGACACATGTCACGCAAAGAACATTCACGGTCACGTCACGGTTGTGACATAACGACATGACGTTTATGATGTCACTCTTCGGATCTTCCTCTATGACACCACATCACGGCACCAATCACGCCAAGCTTAATATTTCTCTTCTAATTAGTAATTAGTCTCGAGCACGAATGGGCTATGAGTCAATAGCCAATGAAGCCGAAGTCCAAATGGGCTATTGACTCATGAGCCATGAGAGCGAGAGGACTAATTGTTTTAGTCAAATCCAACTAGTTGGTCTAATACTTACATGCAAACAATTATTGAATTAAAGTTAGATTTAATTTTTTGGCTTTCAAAGCCGGCACTTTTCGCTACTAGTAGGCTATAACTTATAGCCTACTAGTAGCTCATCCAATCATAATGCAGAATGGATGATAACTTATAGCCTACTAGTAGCTCATCCAATTATAATGCAGAATGGATGATAACTTATTGCCTACTAGTAGCTCATCCAATCATAATGCAGAATGGAAGATAACTTATAGCCTACTAGTAGCTCATCTAATCATAATGCAGAATGGATAACAGACCACTAGTTGGATTTGACTAATGAACCTTACACTCCAACATCCGTCAAATAAGTCTGCACCCAGTACACGCAGCGGTACGATTAAACGATATTAATGACACATTCTAATACTTGTGCAGCGTCCATTATTTCTCCTAATCTATGGCTTGTTCACATGAGTCGCATGAAGTGGGTCGAACAGAAACATAAAGTCAATCTTATCATCTATGGTGCTTTAGTTGGAGGTGCGCTGTCTCTAGCCATCATTAGAGGTCTGCTGTATTATATCACTACTCTACGGTGTTCAGAGACACTACACGACAAGATGGTCTTGTCTATATTAAAAGTGAGTAAAACATATCAAACTTCAACGTCCCCCAAAAAAATTGTCATTCGTGTTGCTATCGAATCTATATCCATAATAGCCCACTTAACGGTTCCCTGCGCCATCTTGAAAGGTAGCCGGGCCTTTGCATCGAAGCGAGACGAACGGTGAGCTTGCAATGATAGGGACCTGTGAATAATTGTACAAGGTGTTAAAAAAAGGTCCCTATCATTGCAAGCTCACCGTTCGTCTCGATGCAAAGGCATGGCTACCTTTCAAGATGGCGCAGGGAACTGTGAAGGGGCCTATTGGTCAGCTTACCTTATCTGGAAGTGAACTCCTTTTTAGTGATTTTCCTGCCATTTGGAGTTTCAAAATGTCGAAAATATAAATCAAAACTGCAGATATTCGAGTGAAGAAATAGTTAAAATTGTCCGCCATCTTTAATCTAGCTTAGAAACCTGGTCTTTGACAAAGGAAGCCCAAAACCACAGGGATCCCACGCGAACGACAATTAAGTTTGATATGTAGCTTGATAAAGCTGGACCCAATATTTTTTTATCCGACCTTTCTAAAATACGTAAAAATACCGATGTGTTCAAGCAATATGATTGGATAACGTTAATTCCTCTTTGCCTTTCGATTGGTTGCCTGTTAAAGGTTATGACCACTCGAAGGCCCAAGCAGCACGATTCTCAATCATTCTGATAAATCTTTTCTTGATTCTGAAATGATTTGTTCAACTTAAATTATCGTGTGTTTTTTTTTCCATAGTCACCTGTTCTGTTCTACGACACTAACCCATCTGGAAGAATCCTTAACCGCTTCTCGAAAGATATTGGCATCGTCGACGAATTTCTTCCCCCCACGTCCCTGTTAGCTCTACAGTACATTCTACAGACACTGGCTTCTATGTGTGTTACGTGTTCTACGAACTATTATGCCATCATTGGTGTTATTCCTATGATTATCGGCTTCTTGCTCATCAATAGGTAACTTGGTTTGATTGGTTGTGTTTTAGGGTGTTGGACATGTCATCATCATCAAACTCATCACCATCATCCATGATTACCATCATGTAGTAATCATCATTTTCTTCTTCATCAAAACAATTCAAACCACATCGTTATCATTATCATCATCATTATTAAAATAATTATCACCATCATCACCATTATATAGTAATCATCATCATCGTCATCATCGTATAGTAATCATCATCATCATCATCATCATCGTATAGTAATCATCATCATCATCATCATCATCGTATAGTAATCATCATCATCATCGTATAGTAATCATCATCATCGTCATCATCGTATAGTTGTTATCATCATCATCATTACCATCTTCATCAAAATCATCGGCAACTCATGATCATTATCTGCAGGACCAAGAAAGTACACTTACCTATTCGGATAGCACTGCACCTTTCTTACCAAATGAATCCTTATGACGTCTAGATGTAACTGAATTCAATGCATTTCTTGTCAAGGTATTATCTGAAGACATCAAGAGAGATCAAGAGAATGGAGGCCATCAGTCAAAGTCCTGTCCTCGCTCACATAGCAGATACTCTTGAGGGGATATCGCTGATCAGGACTTACCATATGGAGAACAAATTCATGGAAAAATTTAACGAGTAAGTCAGACTGCAACATGTAATAAGATAACAGACCTAATATTGTTTTTCCATTTCAGACCGCGTGTTATTCCCTTAAGAATAAGATTTCTTGTTTGTGTTGTATCCATTCATTCATGTACCTTCTAATTTTCAATCGTTAAACAAAGAAATGATACTCTAGAGAATAACGCGCGGTGGTCTCAAATGAGAAAACGCTTCGTCCAAGGTAAATGTCTAAAGAAATGTACTGTCAACAAATTTGAGCCTGAAAACAAATGTGCACTGTGTCTGAAGTATGCTTACTTTTGAGTGAACCTAATGTACTGTAAAAATGACCCAACGTTTGACAAAGTACAAGCGTAATCAGTTTGTGCCACTTTTTCATTGCGCTGACCCGTTAGACTTTCTCAGCTGTAAAACAGCTTTCGATGTAAACTACAGACAAGCGGTAAAATCTACCATTGAATGATTTACACTTTTGTTTTGCATTCGACCAGGGTGCAAGATCATCGAAGTCAGATTTGGTTCCTAGTCCCTCACAGCGCACGATGGATGGGAATAAGACTGGACTTTGTGTGCACGGCATTTGTTGCCATAGCAACGTTCTCGGGCGTGTCATTCGAGACTGATGCAGGTTTGTTTTCCTTTATTCCATTTTTTTCCCTCTCTTGCTTCTTTCCCTCCCTCCCTCTGTCCTTTCCTTCCTCCTTCCTTTCCCCTTCTTTCTCCCATTTTCTTTCTTTCTTTCTTTTTTTTTCTTTCTATCTTTCTTTCTTTCTCTTTCTTTCTTTCTTCCTTCCTTCCTTCCTTCCTTCCTTCCTTCCTTCCTTTCTGTTTTCATTTGCTTACGTCTACAACGTTATAAACATTATTTTTCATGTCATTTCAGGAACTCTCGGCCTGTCACTAGTCTACGCCATCAGTACTGTTGGTCAGCTGCAATTCGCCATGAGACAGACAGCTGACGTCGAGAACATGATGACGTCAGTAGAACGCGTCATGACTTACACTGAGCTCGAAGAGGAGACTGGGTACCACATCAAGAAGAAAGCACCATCTGATTGGCCCACGACTGGTGACGTCAAGTTCGAGAATGTTTCTCTGCAGTACTACGAAGGTGGACCTCAAGTCCTTCAAGTAAGTTTCTAAAAAGAATTCAATAGAATATTAGTCACAGACTCGTACCCAGTCGCTTCCCTTGTCTTATTGATCTCACGCTTTCTCCTGGTTCTCCGGTTTTCCTCTGTCTGCAAAATTCACTTATTCGCGAGCCTACAAGTTTGTCTATCACTTGAATGTGTGTATGGACGATGTGAAATAACTTTCTTTTGCATCATCATGAAATAGATAGTACAGTGTTTTTCAGTCACTATAAACGCTGTAGTCGAATGTTAAGTTTCTTTCCACCTTTATATTGAAACCCTTGGCAGTCTGTAAGACATTTAAGATCTGCAGTGCGCATGCGTTGTTTTGGTTAACCGCGTTCACCACTTTTTTCACAGAATCTTAACATATCGATCAAAGGAGGCGAAAGAGTGGGAGTAGCAGGACGAACAGGAGCAGGGAAATCCTCCTTGGTATCAGCGCTGTTCCGAATGCCCGACCCAACGGGCCAAATAGTCATAGACAACCAACAGATCCTGGAGCTTAACATACAAAATGCACGTCGTGTCATCTCGGTAATCACTCAAAACCCCACTCTCTTCAGCGGTCCATTACGTAACAACCTGGATCCTTTCTCCAATTACAATGACGCGGAAATCTGGAATGTTCTGGATCAAGTTGAGATGAAAGACAAGGTAGCTGACTTGCCGGGGGAATTATATTTTACGCTCTCAGAGTCTGGAAATAACTTTGGAGTTGGTGAGAGACAGCTTCTATGTCTTGCGAGAGCGCTCTTGAATAAGAATAAAATAATCGTCATGGATGAAGCGACAGCGAATGTTGACTTCAATACCGACAAGAGCATTCAAGAGACAATACGAAGCAAATTTAATAATTGTACTGTCATAACGATAGCACATCGTTTGAACACTATACTTGATTATGATAAGGTGTTGGTCATGGAGAAAGGTAGAGCAATGGAATTTGGTCATCCAGATGAATTGCTCAAAAATAAGGACGGTTTATTGACTGAACTCGTCAGGAATCAAGCATCCGCACTCATGTAGTGGAGTACGTGTGTCTTAAAATTTAGGGTTTTCCGAGGTTGCGCGGAAACTGGTAGCGAATAGGGCGCGCGCTGAATCATGGGGCTGTCTTAAGGGACACCATTTTTTCAATATGGCAGAAAGTTTGACAAACTCTCTTGAAAACCAGACCGAAAATGAAAATAAATGTGACTAGATTTGAAAAATAAAACCTGTCGCCCACTAAAACAGCCCCTTTGATATAGAGCGTGTCCTACTCGAACCGGTTTTCGTCCGCGTATACTCAGAAAGGCCAATACAAAACACCAATATCTCCTACCCCTACCCCTACCCCTACCCCTACCCCCACGGGACAACAATTGTAGAAGTCTCCATAGGTCTTGGGGATATTGTTGTGTTTTGTTCTAACTATTTTATTCACCGCATCCAATAACCAACAAATTCAATTAGATATTTTAATGTAGAAAAATATAGAGCATTCTTAGTCTTAGTTTGACAAGGTTACTCTATTTTAATGGGATAAACTTATTCGTTCAATATCTTAAGCTTGGGGATCAAATTAACGGGAAAGTATATGAGAAATTTCTATTAGAAATGAGTTAAAATGGTGTTCCATAAGAACGTTATATTTTTTAAAGGGATTTCAAATGGCAAACTCTTAAAATCGATAAATTATATATTACAAGGCAGTCCGGAAATTTTAATCTTCCTACATTCCCCGATTACAGATTTTCCAGAACGTTTAAAATTTCACTATTTTTCACAATCTATTTAACGGAACTAGAGAGAAAAGTCCATTCCGGAATTTCTGGGATAGACATTGCTCTTACAAGCTTTCTGATTCAATATTACTGAACTTCGTACGCCTGGACTCTTGGACTCCGGATCTCGGATTTTTCCGGATCACGGTCCGAAGATGAACTAACTTTTTTTTGCAAAAAGAAAATAATGAACAAATAATGAGCAATATTAGAATAGTTAGCGGAGGATTAAAAAATCCTTCTTTGCGTTTAATATTTAAGGGAAAATAATACATGAAGTTCCTACCTATGTTGGTACATTGTTATAGATGGCTCTAGTTCGTTAGGACATCAAATGTTAATGCTTGTACACAAAACTATCAATGACTGATTGAATTAACTCAAATATATCCATTGTATATTTGATACGAATAAATGATATAAGGTAGAAGTTCTATTTTTAGTCTTTTTCACTTTTCCCGTTATATTTGTTCAATCTTTGTGAGTAAATATAGCAAGAGGCGAATCTTGTGATTAAGCGTATTACGTGATCATTTCCCGCCGGACATGATCACGCGATAGACCGTATGTTTAAGAAATGCCTATCGTAATAAAGCAAATTCATTTAAAATTTATGTTGTCATGTTTTATCCCATCTCCTGGATGGAAGTCGAAAACTTATAGTACGATGGCAAGCGAATGAAAATAGTTATATAGATCTCTATATTCCCGAGAAAAATCGTTCTGGGGGAAAAAAACAATAGATTTTTTTTTTTTTTTTTGCATAGAAGAAGTTGGCCTATTGTTTTGTCCACAGAACAATTCCTCTAGGATCAATGCAAGAGATCTATATTGTATCTAATCTTTTCTTCGTGTATCTTCTCATGTACAGCCGTTAATCAAAGACATTATATTAAAGGGAATGACACGTGGTATGAAATGGGAAAACATTACGCCCAATGTAAGGAAGTATTTTTCCAATGGATTAGTTTCCGTCACGTGCAGTGAACGTGCCAGCGCATATCACGTGATGGACTCTATTTTCATATCCTTACGTATCCCGCCGTCTCGTGACTAACCTTTGCACTTTCCATCTATAGAAAGTGATGATACCTTAATAGAGCCTTTGATAATCTTGAAAATAACAATTAAATCAATAAAAAAATACTTTCAAATATTATTGAACTCCTGAAGCAACCTCTAGGATGACCAGTGTTGGATTAAAGTATGTCGGGCCATGGTTTGAATAGCTTTATCATGCATAAATAAGACAAGCTAAAGCTTGGGAACGATTGCTTATGCTAGCTATTGTAGTCTTCAGTAACCACTTAACTATGGACTCAAACAGAGTACAATATCAAAATGGATAAGCACAAAAAAAAGTGAAAATCGTAAATAGATTAATTGTTCTTTAGTGTTTTGCTTTAACAGCAAAAAATGAACTTTGTCACAGCTAGCTGATCAGGTCAAAACCAACCAATCAAAAGTAAGTAATGATCATGAGAAATTATGATGATGTGATGATCTTATTTAGGACGCTATTTCTTGGTAACTGAGGAAGGAACTAGCAAGAATTAACTATTTGTAACTGAGGTCATTTGATCACATCGACTGTTCTTCGTCGAAGGTAAGGAAGAAATAAGTGAAATATCTTTTTCTCTTTATTCGTTTGTCGTGAAAGTCAAATACGATGCAATTTTGCAAAAGTACAAGTAATCAAGATAGAGTGCATAACTTATATCCGTGAAAAAATTTGTAAGAAATTGCACAAACTTGCACAAATTACGTAAGTTCAGTAGACCTCAGTAGACCGTAGACCTACAAAACCTTGCACTACTTTGTACACTTTATTTAGTTAACATTTTCACGGACAAATGATGATGGATTCAAGATATAACAGATTCGTAAATCATTTCTTTAATGCAGAATTTAAAGGTTGTTGAATTTTCCTTTGCGAGTCGGGCTGACTGACAAACCAAAGATGTACCTTGGGACACTTTTGCTTGGAGCTGCCACAACATGGATGTTAACGTCCATGTGCTCTGCTGGAATCTGTGATGAAGGTCCACCTGGGAAATTCTGTTTTCCTGACCTCAGCGGATACCATGATTGTGTGGTGAATAAAACTACGGGGAAGATTGACGACAAGCTGTACAACTGCCCTCAAAACACCAGGTAATGATTCAGTTTATGCCCTAAAATTTTACCCTTTTGTGTCTAATTTGATTTTCCAAAGTGGTGAGAATGGGCCCTCGAGATATTCTTTCCTCATGACCTTCACTCTACCTCTTTTCGATAGGAGAACACGAGGGACTTCTATTTTTTCTTCTCTTCTTCCCTCACTACCCGATGTCCTATCCTATCGGGTAGTCAATATATATTTCTATCCCCTGTCCCCCCCCCCCTACCCCCGCCGCAAGTAATATTTGACGTCATTTTTCAGCAGGGGTAGGGGAAAGATTCCCACTCAATTGTGCTTGATTCTAATTTTCATTAAAGGAAAGGAGTGAATATCCATTCTGTCCACCTCTGCCGACTTATGCTTGAGTTTATACTTCACTAGGGTGGGGAGGGGATATCTCCCCTACTCCCACAGGAGTTTGATCTTTTTTCGGTAGGGATGAGAGGAGATATCTACCTACCCCTCCCACTCCCAGTGTTGTCTTTAAGGTGGGGTAGTGATGCATATATATCTTGTCATCATCAGGTGTAAGTGTATGGGTATCCCATGTTCTACCAATACTCCATGTGGACCGTACAGACTCCCTCCAATCTTTGCTGATGACTTCACAGCAGACATCAACGACATCAAAACCGTCGTGACCCCAGCAGGAAAACAAACAACGTATGTATGTCATGCAATGAAACTGCTTGATATTATTGTCACGAAATCTAGTCTGATATAAATTCTCTAGATATTTGTCATGCAATGATTGGGTAAGTTTATGCAGTTTAATTAAATTCTATGGGCCCTCACATGAGGAGCTGTCACGCTATCTATGTCATCCATACACACTATCTCTGTCACATTGCATTTATAATATATGTCCTATCAATCATGTTAACTGTCACGCCAATCTATTCACTGCATGAAACAAGTCTAAAAGTTTTGTCACGCAAATTATACAAATTATATTACTTTTATCCAAAGGGTTTATTTAAACTACGAAAGATTATCAATATAGCAACTGCTCAGGTATACCATTCCCACCCCTCCCCCGTTGATAAACGTTTTCTCCGCTCAGGGGAGGGTCGTGACTTATAGGGCAGGAAATGAAAGCTATTTTTATTTAGTTCCATGTAATTTTTTTGTATCGAGTATTGGATATCTAGAACAAACATTTGACAACTTTATGATGGTTGGACGCAGGTTACAATATAATAACATGCAAATATACTCTAAAATACGAAGCAAAATTGAAATCATAAAATATTTGAATGAGTGTTTATAACAACCAGAAAGATATAATTGTGAAAGAAGAAGGAAAATTAAACTTTTAAACAAACCTTACAAATTATGAATGTTGCATTATCTGACTTCTGCTTTCTCAAGACGAAGGAGAAGCCAAATACGACTATCTTGGGCAACCAGCTTTGAACTACTCTATGCAAATGAGCCATGCTTTTATGAATTCTTTGGGGACCTTGACGCACATTGCACAGGGAGCCCAAACCGTTGTTTTGTATTTATGAAATATGTCTTCCATTAACAGGTACAGTCATTTTGGAATCTGGCGGGATTCCAAGAACCAGAAGTATAGACTTGATGCTACTATCGCACCACACGATCCGCCTTACGAGTATTTCATCTTGTTACCCAATAACCAGTCTTCCTTTGATGTGGTAAGTACATATACCTATAACTTGCACCTCTACTGTGCTGTGCTCTGCATTGCTCTGCTCTGCTCTGCTCTGCTCTGCTCTGCTCTGCTCTGCTCTGCTCTGCTCTGCTCTGCTCTGCTTCTGTTTAATTCTGAGCTTTAATGATCTGGTTTTCTTTTACAGTACGAGGTCATTCCTTCTACAACCAGTTGCAAAAAAACGACCATAACAAAGTTCCCACCAAAATTGCAAGAGCCAAGCTACTTCCAGTACAACGGCACGGTAATCGTGACGGGTATTGTCTGTGATCACTGGATCTGGCTGTCCGGAGGCAGGAATAGCGGACGGCCTATCATCTCGCAGTCCTGGGATACAAACCAGAAAAAACCAATACAATACCTGGCCTACTCCCCAGGGAGTCAAATGTCCAAAACAAGTGTTAGAATTCAGCGTTACTTTGGGTTATTTGATGCTGGTACCCCAGACCCTGAAAAATTTGTTCTTCCTCGGTATTGCGAGAAGGAATTGGAGAAAACCCCTAAACCAAGCGATGAATTTTTTGAAAGTCGTGACTTGGTATTTTAGGTTGATACTTTTTGCTGGAATAGATGCATTTACTGGAAACGTTTCTGTCAGCCCCCAAAATCTTTTTGATAATAAAAATATATGTCAGTCATCAAGAATAAAATTAGGTTTAAGATTACTCTTGCTGGGATTGGGGCGCATTTCCTTAAACAAAATTGTCAACCCCCAAAAATACTCTTGATAACGTATATAAGTAATAAAGAAAATTAATGTAAATAAAGGTGGTTTTTTTTTTTGTTGTTGTTGTTGTTGTTATTTTTTTTGTTTTTGTTTTGTTTTTTGTTTTGCTGGAATCATTTCTCAGCATTTCAAACGCAAGAATATTTTTAAAAGCAACGAATAAAATAAACTAGTAGAGCTTAGAATTTGGTTAAGTATTTGGTTTGCCATCGTTTGTTTTTCTGCACGTGCTCTACGCTGTTCGCTCAAGTTTGTTTTGAAAAGACAAGAAAACATGATCAAACAGGCGTAGAGCGCGCGCAGTATGTGCCGGAAAAAAAAAGTGTTAAGTGATTCTAAAAATAGCATCAAAGAGCATGGGGCGGGGGGATTCCTTCTCTTAGTTTATTTTCTCTTGTTAGTACTTTAATACCCGCGRTAAGATCATTTTCGATCTATTCACGGGTTAATCGATGTACAGTACAAATGAGTGCCTATATCGATTAGATTTCCTTATGGATCTATTTCAGGATCATTTTTTGCTCAGTTCACATGAATGAATTATCTATTTAACGGGTTAATCGATCTACAGTACGAAAAAGTCTGTATATCGATTGGAGTACCTCAAGTTCTGTTTTAGGACCTCTTTTATTTATCATTCATATGATTAATAATAATATATGATTAACTATAATATTTATAAACCATAATATGAATTGAGGAGGAAGATATGAAAACGTGAAACTTAGCATGAGTTTTATCATTGAAACGTAACCGGAAAAATCGAACAATTGTTCGTTTCAACGCAATTTAGATTCCTGCACGTCTAGGAAATCATCCAAGAAAAAAGTAAACAAAAGACAACCAAAAACGTCAACATCAACGTTTAAAAATAATAATTCAAGAGTCACGCCACCGTAAAAAAATTTATATTGAAACTGAAAATATGTTAATATATAGTTTATTTATATATATAAACTAGAATGAAGTCATTAAACCCGTGAAATAGATATTAGACTAATACACTTTAGTAGACCCTAATTCCATTGTCTTCTTTTGTGTCTATTTGACTATTACATGTTGACTAGTAAATTTTATTTCACGGGTTTAATGCCTTCACTGTATTCAAAATTAGTTCATGGAAGAAAATTTACAGGGATTTTATGATTTACATTATTCATTATCATGATGTAGTTACCATAAAAAAGTAAATCCATAAAAAATACAAAAAAATACGATTTTGAATATTATCCGCCGACAAGTTTAAATTAATGGATTAGTTTAATGTTCATGAAGTTCGGACATTTTCAACCCAAATTTATTTTGCTAAGATTAGCTTGTACTGACTTATTCGCTTTTGTAAATCTTATGCAGCTCTCGTGACTTTCTCATGGATGTATTTTGACATAAAATATCCCTATTACGATTTCAATAGAGCGTTTTCACTCACGTGAGAAGGCAGCCATAAACAATAGAAACTTTCTGCACAGTATTTGCATAAAAATAGAGTTCAATTCCCGGAGGATAGAAAATGTATTGTTTTGGTACCTCATAATGGCCGCTGTGACGCCACGTGAAAACGCTCTATGTACTTCTTTACATCAGAGCTTCTCGTGACTTTCTTGTGAATGTATTTGGATATAAAATATCGCTATTACGATTTGAAATATTATGTCTTTCTCGGAATTTAATACAATTCTTGACATGAGCTTCCTTTGGTGAACGTGACTTATTCATTCATTGAGCTCGAAAATTAGTCAACAAAAACCGAATAAATCATATGCATGACCAATGTTCTGCTCTCTGTCTTTCCTTTTCTTTTAAAAAGTTTAAATTCCATTCAATTATGAAAGATAAAAAATCACACAATGACGTTTAAGCGATTGAGCTAAAACACGTCAAATCTCGAATGAGCGAATTGACCAATCAAAGCAGAGTGCGTGACGTCAACACTTTGACTTTGTTCCTCTATATATTTGGGTGCGAATCGAGGGGTTTTCATTTAGTGGGCAGATCTGCCTTTAAACAACTCTCCAGTCTTAATTTAGAAGAGTAAGTATCTTGGAAATCCTCGAGGTAAGCATAATTTTAGTCAAAGTAGTTTAATTTGCAAATAGCAGTTTTCTTTGCACTTCTTTATTGACTCCATGCGAACGGAATTTAGCAAAGACAATTGCAATGTCTCGAAAGCTGAAAGTAGTAGAAGAAAAAAAACCCTGGAAGAATAGCAGGAAGCAAGAACTCTTTTCACATGATATCATTCTCAAATCGATTCTGGTTCATTTTGGTATGAGACGAGTGCTCTTTAATACTACGTCTCGTTTCAGTGCTTTTGATTTTAAATGCAAAATGCGTTTCCGCTCTTTGAAGAACTGTTATTTTAGATCGTCATTCTACAAAAAAAAATCGATTTCTGCAGAAGTGAAAATGAGGATCGTTAGAGCTGAGGCCAAATTTTACCTACAATTTTTACTCTTTAGAATTATTCTCTTTGTTTTGAATTGCTGCACTATTCTTTAGTATCTTACGAAAGACATTTTCTAAATTTATATATTCTTTAGGTTTGTCACGCTCATTTCTCAAAGGTTAACTCGTGTTTAAACTCTTTTCCTGTTTGTACTAGTCCCGCCCTCCCACCGTCTAGTTTTCCGGGTACAAACTCCAGCTGGTTTTACATTGACTTGATATTCTGTTTTTACAAATTAAAAAGGAAAAGCGAAAAATAGCGAGGAGTCCCTCCGCGTAAAATAAGTTCCTAACCACCCACTCGCTTCTGTCAAGAGCTATGTATTAATTTAGCTAACCAGCAGTTTTTAATTTCTTTTTTTAAAGCAGGTACCATTATGTCACTTGGCCCCTTTCTGCTTGGTGCCGCGGTAACGTTAATTCTAACGTCCGTGTGCTCTGCTGACATCTGTGATCTTGGCCCTCCGGGTCGGTTCTGTCTGAACTCGCTTGTGGGCTACCATGAATGTATTTACAATAGAAATACATCAAAGATGGAGCACCATATTGTCACTTGCCCGTTTGGAACAAGGTAGGGACTGCCGCTTAGTTTACAAAGGTTTTATGACTTTAACACTATAATAATAATATTTCACAACCACCACTCCCCGTACGGGGCTCTTCTGTGAGGTTCCCTCCACACGCACTACCACTACGTTCTATATTTACAACATATAACACTCAACTGACATGTTGATTTTTATGGAGGGAGGAAACTGGAGTACCTGTAGAAAACCCTCGTAGCATAGGAGAGAACAACACATCAAACAAACTCAATTCACATGTGGCGACCGCAGGGCTCGAACCAGCGACCCGACCCGTTGGACTCACAGCGGTGAAAGACGACGTGTTAGCCGCGAACGCCACCCATGCTACCCATAACCTCTAACTCTCAACACTAACCTCTCGAAAATCAATATTTAATTAATAGATATAAATATTATTAATATTGATTAAACGGCCGCTCATATTGCGATAAGAACTGAGCTTTAAAAATTGATTGAGTCATAATACTCAAGGGAATGACACATGGTCTGAAACGGATAAGCAGCGTATTATCTCAGCACGTATAGCTACCCCTAAGGTAAAATAAAACGCGGGTACTTTTTCGACGCCTTTCGGTTTTATGAGACTTACTTGAACGTGCGTTGCCTTGTTTTCGTAGGTGTTCCTGCATGGGTATTCCTTGCAAGACAAGCTCTCCATGCCAGAAGTTTATTCTCCCTCCAGTCATGCCTCGCAGCTACAGAGCTGAATACAACGAAAAGAAGACCATTTGTTCACCAGCTGGATGTAGGCCAACGTACGTAAGCAATTGTCACTCAATAGAGCAGTTTTCGTATGACTGTGAAATGCTCGGTGCCGTATGCGTGCCTTGCCGCCACCGTGATGTTTTCTAGCATTTTGAATGGCTGAATTTTTTCTTTCGCAATTTGATTGGTCTTGCAATGCCGTGACTTTGGCGTGATTTTGTCCGCGCCGTGTTCGTGCCGTGTTTCGGGTATTTGATTGGATGAGGAGTAAATTCTCGCGCGATGTGATTGGTCTGGGGCATGCCTTGCCGTGTCACGACCGTGTTCGTGCCGTGAGCTTCTCACAGCCATACAAAAATGCCCTATGTCACACTTCATATGTCATGTATCAAGATGGCGATGTTGTTTCGAGATGCTTTAGGAGCAACTGTCACGCAACATATCACAACTGAATATGTCACGTATCAATAAATGTTTGGTGTCACGCAAAAGTTCAAGTATGTGTTTTGAAGGGAGGGGGGAAGGAATAATTTATTGATGTGAGTGGCACCTCTTAACGCTCTCTACGCCTGTTTTGATGTTATAAGACAAAGATTGATCGTTATTTTTCACTTGTTCTCAACAGGTACAGTCGCTTTGCCATCTACAGGGATGCATTGAACCAAAGGTACAAGGAGATTCGAACTATCTCGAATAAGAACCCGACCTACGAGTACGATATCGTGTTGCCTATCAGACGCTGGAAATTTGCTAGGGTAGGTGGTATCGTATCGACCAGCATTATATACAGCACTTGATCGTATTGCTATTATCAATGGAAGATAACATATATATATATTATAGCATACTGTTGTGACAATCATCATCAATAGTCATCATCATCATTAACATCATCACCATCACCATCATCACCACCACCATCATCATCATCATCATCATTACCAGCACTATGAACACCAGCACTATCATCAACAGCACTATCATCACCATCATGATCATGATCGTCAACACCATCCATCAACATCACCATCATCATCATCACCACCATCATCACCACCATCATCATCACTATCGTCAACATCAAAACTATCGTCATCATCATCACCATCATCACAATCAAGACGATCAACATCATCACCGTCATCACCACCATCATCACCACTAACGCTAACACCATCATCATCACTATCGTCAACATCAAAACTATCGTCATCATCATCACCACCATCATCACCATCAAGACGATCAACATCATCATCGACATCATATCAACATCACCTCATTATCCTCACCACCAACATCATTATTATTATTATCATCATCATCATCATCAATACCATCTTATCATCATCAACATCTAATATTACTGAATACTCTTCTTCCAGTACCGTATTGTCCCAGGCACAAGGTCTTGCACTAAAACTATCCTCTTTCGTTTCCCGCCAAAAATCCAAGTCCCGGCAAAATTCAGCTACAGCGGTCGTCGCTACGTGTACGGTGAATACACAAAGAAGTGGGTTTGGATGTCCGGTGGACGACACAGCGGTCAAGGGGTCAATGTCCAGATCTGGGACACTGCCCAGACAATAGATGGAACCCCGACAGTTGTGCAGTATACGGTCAATTACCCGGGAAGTCAGATGTCTAGGACGAGCGTCAAAATTGATCGTTATTACTATATGTTCAAGCCTGGTGTACCCTCGAGCATCGAGTTCCAGCTTCCTACTTTTTGCCGTCGATAAAAATAGAATACCTCAATCAAGACTGACCGGAATGGAAAAGTTATTAGCATGATCAAGTGACCCTTACAGTCAACCTCTTGCCAATCAAAGTTTAAATCTTTCTTATCATTTTACGTCATGACAGCCATGTTGGTGTCATGAGTTTATAACACCAACATGGCCGCCATGTCATAAGACTCTATTTGGGAATATATACTTGAAAACCAATTAGAACGCTAATGTAACTTAAAGGACTTTAATCCGTGACACGATGCCTTACCCTCCCCTCTCCCCCAAGCCAATAGCGTCAACCTGGTTCCCAGGGCTCCCTCTCCTCTTAGATGGCGAGGATGCCCTGGGAACAGGGCTAAGTCAACTGATCATGGGAATAGCTGTAGAAAACACACGCAAATCAATGAGCTAAAACATCCCCATTTGGGAGATAGAGAGTAAGTTAAGTAACAAAAGCAGCGTTTCTGGTAATAGTAGTTTTAAATTCCAAGTTTAATAACGAAAAATAAATAACAAAAAACAAAAACAAAAAAAATGAAACTTCAGCGCACTATGAAAATTATTGTCTAGACAATTTATTTTTTTATTTGTCGAAACTAAATGTTCAAATTATTTTTAAGCATTTGGAAAATGAATAAAAGATATAACTTTTTCATTGTAAATACGGTCTTAGTTTTTATAAATTCCTGGAGTACAACTTTCTAACCGGGGAAAAAATAGGGTTTTTATTTCTCTCCCATTAAATTCCGATGGGGAGGGGGGTCAGGTCTCTGCGCCTCCATCATTAACGGTACCATTGCACAACATGTTCTAGAAGATGTTTTTAATTATTTACGTGTTGAACTGCAATAGAATAACACCCATCAAATTAAGCTTTTTTTTAAAAAAAAAGGGCGATCGTGAATTAAGGAGTTTGGACAACGACAAAGAAACACGTATTTATCGAAGTTTGATTATCTTTAATATTAGAAGCAAGAAAAAATTAAACGACTTTTAAACAACAGAAAAACTTCTATCTTACTGATAGAGTCCTGAAACAACCTCTGGGCTAATCGATCTACCTAAGCTTATCTGTTTGAGGACACGTAAAGTCAGTGATTAAATTGGAAGTGTTTTGGTTTTTGCGGAGGGATGAAAACAGGACAGGACAGGACAGCTCTCTTCTCAAATTGTTATCATTGTTCTATACTTCAACCATTATCTTTTCTTATACTAGTATTAAAAATCATTGAGTCCGTATCTTAAACTTCAAGCCTCTCGCCTTAAAACTTCATGCAGTACCTAGCATTTGTACACCCGCCAGCATCATAATTGCAGTATGCTTTACACACCAAAGGACTGCAACACTCGCTGGAACTATAACAGGACTTCATCTGTGATTTGCAGCGTTTCTCTGGCGTGATTTCCTCTTGGAAGTCGTCACTGATCGGATATGCTTCCACCAAAACCACAGCGATGATCAGAAATACAATGAGCTTCATCGTCGTTTAATCTGTTTAATCAATTAATCAATTAAAGTCGAATCAAGTCTTAAGCAGCCAAGCATTTATGAACGAGTATTTACGATGGAACGCAAGAGTAAGAAACTGGTTGTATTTACCTTGGATTTCGCTCAATTCTTGAAAGACTAATTTCGATGCAACACTTCTGATCTGGAACTGTTCTCAATGATGAAAAAAGAAAAAGCAAAGAAAAAAAAGAGAAAAGTAAGATGAGTCAGGCTTCTCTCCGCTTATCAGCTTCCAGGACTATGTACCACATGAGCGTAGCTTCGCTCTCAGAATAACGATCCAAAAAAAAAAAAAAAAAGTGAAGGAAAAGAGGCACTGAAGACAAGGCTTTTCAACACGTTTCACCACGTTTTCCGGTATTCTTAAAAAGAACTTTTCGTTTTCTGTAAGCCTATAAAACATTTCGCAACTATGCTTTTTTAGAGCTAAATATCGATAACATGTACAGATCATATAGCCAAAAGAATATAAAAGAACCATTAGACTTAAACCGTGCGTCTAATAATTTTCTAATAAATAAATATATTCATTTCTACTTCTTCCATTCATTTATTTGTCATCAAAGATTAGCATGAAAATCATTGATTCTTTTGGATTCTTAAGTAGTGGGATGCTAAATAACCAAAGCAACTACGTGTTGAACTGAACAAATACCGTAAGACAACAGTTATCAAATTATGTATTTACAAAGAAGAAGAGGAAAAGAATTAGGCTTGTAGAGTTTGAAGAACGACAATAAAAAAAACCTCATTTATCGAAATTTCATCAAATCTAGCCAAAACTTTACCTAGAAACTGGATAGCACACAAACAATGAACGCAGCAAGCTTTTTTTAAATTAGCACATCTGACTGAGTGGAATTTTAAATGAATCGACAAAAAATATCGAGATTTAAGAAAAAACACTTCGTTTTTAATTATTTAGCTTGATATATTGTAAATACTGTCTATTTTATTTCTTCGTACTACCATTTATTATCTAACATGATAAACGTATAATGATTCGTCCTATAAAGTTTCAAGTCCTTCGTTTTCTCTACGAAAACGTCCTATTAGATTTTGTTGCGACTGAGGCATCATTTTATTTTCCCCTACACCTCTTTCTAGTGGTTGGTATACTCTAGGCACGTCTTGATGCAACCCTTCCCGACTTTGATACCTGCTGCGCTGTGTTGTTCTTTTAATCAAGGGTCCGTAACTAAGTACAAAAAAATGCACCAGTGACGATGAATGTTGTATGATATAACCTATATCTACCTATTTCGGTACTACTTTCTGCATATAGAGTGCAAACAATATAAGCGTGAAACTTTAGTAACACTTCTAGAATGACTGCATGAAGAGATTCATCTTTACACTTGATCGATCGCGTTGTCAATCATCCATTTGAATCCACCTTAACAGCCATCAGTATTTAAGCGGCTTTTCGGAGTTCTCTCAGCAATTTGTGCCTAACCATCTTGGAACCAAGTTTGTTAAAAGTTCATCTCAAGTCAACGATAAAGGTAAGATCATCTTGCTTGACTATTGTTGAAGCTTCGTAAGTTACAAGGATTGTAAAGTCAATGCAAAATTCAAAACGTTTACATGCATTTTTAGGCGCCAATTGCAAAGTTCATTTCAATGACGCCTTTCCCATACTATTGACATGTGTTTGCTGCTTTTACCTTTGACCATACTTTCTGTCCATCAGTGCCGCTTACCAAACTCATTTCTTCATATTGTGAGGTTTAATTATTTTATATGCCCATTCAGTTTTTATCGATGTTGAGTGATTTCTACAAACCACTTCAATAGCGCAGCGCAGCCGTGACGCCATAAAAAGAAGACAAAGGGGAAATTCGGGCAAACAAACTTACAAGTTTACTTTCAGCAGATAATTTTCACAACCGATCGCAGTTGATCTTAGTTTACATGGGTTATTATTGTAACTTTAAGTAAAAATAATAAAATCGGTTCGTATAATCCTGGTAGCGGTTAAACAGAATGCAATGTTTGTCCGAATCTTTAAGCTATTTTTAGAATCAGCGCGCTGCTATTTCGAAGAAACACTGCTTTTCCTTTCACGATATACTTTGCAAAGTCAACCTTATCACTAACCTTAATTATAGAAAGATTCGTTCTAGAATCTGGTTAGATTTAATCGATTTTTTTTTCTTCTCCAGGATAACAATGAAAACCCTTCTCGTGTTTTTGATCTTGGCTGTGATTGCAGTGAACGCATATCGTATTCAAGACGACATGGCCCCGGAATTGGACCGAAAAGAGTACCTATACGACGAGATGGCTCCGGAATTAGAGCGGCGCGCATGCAAAAAGAAATATCAAAAATGTACAAGAGACAGCCAGTGCTGTGACCAGAAAGATTGGAGTGGCAGAAAATTGCGATGTCTTACACAATGTGACGAAGGAGGATGTCTGAAATACAAGCAATGTCTGTTCTATTCTGGAATACAGAAAAAATAATACCAATAGTGAAATACGCCGAATCGAAATATGGCAACCAGTTTGAATAACTGATAATAGTGAGTGTGAAACAATTAGCATTTGAAGCAAGGAAAGTTCTGAAATAAATTTTCTCAAATTATTTCTTGACTCATTTTATCTTGTTCGTGATTACGATAAGAAATTAAAATTCTTTTACCCCAAGAGCCCCAGTTTTATTTATTCATGATTTTTGCATGACCTATTTAAGGTGGCTCGACCCCCTCACGCTTGACCGCTACCTTCCAC